CGTCATGCTTTAGAATTACGAGGGAAGTTGTAAATGATAGGATGCATACACCATATTACGTTTGTCAAGAAGTTCTTGTTCAGCTTTCTATGGACGAAAGGAAAAGCTCGCAAAACGTCGGCTTTTAATACAGTTTTATAATGTTATATTTTAGTTTCCATGCGATGCATGAAGTATTGATTATGAAGAAGTGCTTTCAATCCACAACTGGTCTGCTTTCATGGTCTGCGCAACAGCTTTTAGCAACGATTTTAAGGAAAACAGGACAACAATAGCCTAGCGCATATCCCCTTACGCTGATATGACAAAATGTCATGATGAAGACACTTCTCTGATAGATTCCGAAAATAAACGAGCATAAAGGGTCAATTGGTAATCATCCTCCTCTTAGAGCGCTTGGGTATTGGTCCGAATTATTAGCTGATTAATTTTGCAAAAAACTGAGTGATGACTCAGAAGACATCTGCAAAAACGTTGCTGAATTAAAAAGTAACTTGAAAGGAAAGCTAAAAAATGTTTTTATTCAGTCGACATGATTTTAGTGCTCATAACTAGGATTACAATTTATCTTTTAAAATTAATTGGAAAAATTAAACAAACAGATGAAGCAAAGAATTATCCTGGACTTATCACCAGAAAAAAAAAAAAAATGCTCTTACATCCTGATGGCTTTAAAAAGACAAATCCGATATTTTTCTATGTAAGAGTCTACCTAAAAGAGATAAAAAAAAGAAATAAAATAAATTATCTGCGGCGGTAACATCCTCCCCGCGCGTTGGAAGTATTTAATTTGAAAGACACTCTTCCACGTGGGCACGCTTCGCGAGTTTCTCTTGACCTCGGCCGATCGCATAACATCCCCCCCTCCTGGAAAAACTCTCTAGACTATTCTTGGGGACCGCGGATTTATTTAGGCGTACAATCCAACACCACAACTAAGTCTTACACTTGAATGCTATAAGAAGGTTGATGCCATTTCTTTCGAATGGGACCAGTTGAATATTTTTGTATTTACATGTAGCGAATCTAAATGTGAGTTGTTCCCATTTTTCAAATTTTTATACTCATGAAGACTGCATGCCTAAATTTCAACGTTTTGCCATACCTATTGTAGGAAAAGCTCATCTTAATATCGTAAGAATATTGATGAT